GTTGCTGAAGGCAAGAGGAGAGAAGGAGGGGGAAGAAGTGTCTGCGACTGAAAATTAGGGAATTGTATTGCTATTCTCAACATATATTGTTCTTCAGGCTGTAGGACATTACTTGTTTGGACTTGTTTGTGCTCTTGGACAGGAAGTACCAGTGTGTTCTCTGGCAGGACTCTTTGTTTCTGTAGGAACTACAGCTGTTTCTTTAATATCTTTCTTTTACATCTTTCTCAGGCTGGCCTTTGCAATTCCTAGTTATTCTCTCTCTCCGCAAGGCCTTGACATACAGAAATGGGAGGTCCCCAAACAATTTGTCGAGGATATTTCATTGCCTTCTTGTTCTTGACTCAGAGATTTATCAGCCATTCTAAAGTTAATATTCCTTCCTAGTGCCCAAAGGCTGTAATGTCAGGACATATGAAGCGCAGTAACTAGGGAAGTTGAGACAGAACAAGTAGTTATAGGACTAATTCTAGCCTACATGCCAACAACTGTAAAGTGTAGCTTTTCTCTCTGTTTTGAAATATCATTCCCATGATCTCTTCCCGTTCTATTAGATGTACTGAGACATCTTTCATCATCATTCCCTTTGCATAGAACCCTGTATTAATTCTGGATTGTTAGGTGTTTGGCATGAATCAGTGGGAATGGAGGAGAGCAGTACAGGACTGGTTAGTAATTGCATGTACACCTTTGCAGGAAGGCAACATACTGGAGGATAACTTGATGCAATACATTGCTATACTGTGATATGTATCACCAAGAGGTGGATAGAGAAGGGTATTGCTCAAAAAGGCAAAGGGCTATTTAGAGTGTACCCACCCAGAGCTGCTGGAAGGGCAACACCATCTATGCAGGCAGCCACTAGAAGGCTGCATTACCTATAAAACTCATGCTAAATAAGAGCACAGTCTTTGTCTTAAATATTCTTGCATAACACCTGCAGATCTGCACAAAGTGCACTGCAAGACAAATAGATTTCTGCAGACATGGTTCTGAACCATGTGTTAGCAGTGCTATGAGTCTGATTAGAAGTTGTAGAGTGCCTTGTACAGTAATCTCTTTGCATTCTTAAATGTCTCTCTCACCTTGCAAAATATGCCTGAAAAAATGCCAAGGTAGCTGAAAGCTCAGGGGATTGCTCAAGCTGTGAAGCAAAGTACTTTTTCAGTTTTTTTTCTCTTTCCATTTCCCCTTTTCCAACAAATATGTATGCATTACAGGCTGCTTGTTTAATTCCTGCAGTGCCACAGATTTGGATGGGAAGTAGAGGGATTTTTTTTGATATTTCAGAGTAATGAACAGCATATTATTTTCACTGAAATGGTACTGACACATAGATGTATTGGGGGAAAGAGAGGGAATAATATGCAAAAAAGTAGAAGTGGCAAGGAGTGTGCCAGTGTGGTCGATGATTATAGGGTAAGCCAATTTCAGAAAAAATAATAGCCACAACTTAAATTCTCTGGTGAGGATGCCATTTTGAGTATGAAGAGGTGAATGGGGAACAAAGAAGTTTGATAGGCCCCTTAATTCACATCTATCTAAAATCCAAAATAGATCCAAAATAGTGACAGCCACTAGATACCTAAAATATGAGGGTTATGAGTTTTTCCCCCCTTTTTAAAAATCTTTCTATATAGTTGCACTCAAAGTGCCTTCCAGCAGGTGCAAGCTTGGGACTACTGCAACCTTGTCTGGTCTCCCAAAGCCTAGAGCAGGGGAGAGCCCAAGCTCCAGGGACTTTGCCCAGCCTTTCACTCTCTCATCTTTGCTGGTACTTTGCAGTCCTGATTAAGGAGCTAGTGTTCAAGTTCCACTCTTGAGAGAAGGACTGTGCCTCTTGTTGGGAAGACTAAGTAGAATTCAAACTTCCTCTTTAGTGAAGGCATTTACTGAGGCAAGGCCACCCAAGCAGAGGTTCTTCACAACCCTCTAAGGTGTAAAGCTATTCCTTTGTCTCCAACCCAGCCCATGTAGTTTAGAACACCCACAAAAGGTACTCAGCTTTTCCCTTTACATTCTTTCATCAACTGGTCTCTGACTCTTTAGCTAGTCTCTGCTTGCAAAGACATGACAACCCTCTGTTCACCTTGCCCTCTCCATTGTTATATGCTCATCTTCCCCCCAGCTGCCTGGATGTGAACAATCTCACCTTTGTTGATATGTCAACAAAGCTATTCAAGGCTCTGGGGGATGCTATAAATCCATCTTGTCTACTCCCACACATAAACAGCCCTAGCATGTTGCAGGGATGCTATTAACCTATCTTTCCCTGTGTGCTATGTTATGGGTAACCGGAGTCATGCAATATTATAACATGAACACATGATTAACACCATAAAGTTGCATAGCTTGATATATACTGGAAGAGCTCCCCTTCCCAGCACAGCTGGGTATCCATTTGTGTTTTGGATGCATTGTCAAGCATGGCAAAAAATTACCTGTTCCTTAGAGCCCTGGTTGGGTCTGGGGGTCATGGTCTCTTTGGTGCCCCTGTTGCTGCCCACAAAATACTGGAGCTTGGTGGTAACCACCTTGGCAAAAATCCAGTTCAGCTCCAGAGAATAGGAGCAAGTACTGGGAGCATTGCCAGAGCTCTGGCTCCTGTCATTATTCTTTTTTAATAATTCTTCTGAAGTTCCTGTTCTTTGTCATAGAATTGGAACCTGTCCTAGGAATGACCTCTCTCTGTCACTTGCTCAGTATATGCACATATATCTTGGCATTCCTGTGGTTGCTGTTAAGCTAGGACTGGATGGTATCCTCTTTTCAGATGCCAGGGGAATCCAGGATTTCTGCAGGGATCCATGTGAATGCACACAACATGGCTACAATAATGTTGAGAAGGGTATTTGATTCCATAAAATGGAGACATCTTGACTATAGGGCAGCATTTAAACAATGATGTGACATTCGGTCAACAAGTCCTTAGAAGAGCAAAGTGTTCATAGGTAAACAGACAAGTCAGTTTAGGTATGAATCCATGCAGTTTGGGAGAACAGAGGGACTTCTGGAGGCAGGAAAATTAATTAGTCTGCCCATGTGAAACTTTTCCAGGACTAATTTATTCTGAAATGAATTGAATCCACTTGAAAGACGGATTTTCCAATTTGCAAGAACTAGCCAGGTAATTAAGAAAAAGAAGTGGATTGTGTGAACACAAAGTATTTTAAGATGAACGCCCCTCCCCGCCCCCCTATGTAAAATATCATTCCCTGTGTGAACAAATCTTATATAATAATTTTCATTTCAGAAGAAATCTTTAATCACTCAGTTCAATTGCATAATGGGTACACAAACAGGTTCTTCATAATAGACATATGAGTGACAACTGTAATACCCTGTCATGCTGGTAAGAACTGTCTGTTCCTATTAAATGGATCCTACATCTCCAGCCCAGTATCTCTGCTTTCAGTAACGCAGTCATACAGATTCTAATGGTTGGTCCATCAAGCTATTGCATTCTTCCAAAAGAAAGTTGATTTGATTCTGGCAGAAAATATAAATTGAGATACAAGGACAGTTCTTATAGTAATAAATTAGATACAGTAATAAGGCCTTTTATGTCAGTTATGTGCATTTAAAGATTTTGTTTCACAGTGCTCCTTTATGTATTCTGTAGAAAGAAAACTAGGTCCTGTAGACTTTCTGCTCTTGTATGCAGAGTCCGCCTACAGTGGTCAAAATCATTATTCATTTGTGCATGTAGAGGCCTTTTTCCTCAGCCCACCTACAAGTTATTGACATTTAAAACTGCCATTTTCAGTAGAAAGGTACTTGCCTGGGTTCAGCAAATGCTCATAACTCTAAATGTAATGCACCTGGAGGACAGAACTGTAGTGTTTTTAATAAGCACTAACGAAAACCATGACACTTTCAGCAAATTTGAGTAGGGCATTTGTTGGAAGCTTAACTAGGTTGATACAGCACTGAAATGACCTTTTCACTACTGCTTGGTGCTGCATCAGTGATGCCAATTAACAGAAATAGGGAATATTTTGGGATACTAGCCAATTGCCCGTCAAGAATGTCCAAACGCTTCTTCACACACTGATTGGCTGTTTGTCAGCCAATCAGAGCACGAATAAAGCATTATGGACAAACAGACAGATTAAGGCTTTTATAATATTAGATATATTCTGAAATGGAATTCAGAGACCATCTTTCCTCTTCTTAGAGGTTTAAGACCTGATAATTTTGCCAGCAAAAACTTGACTGTATCCAGACGTACAGCTCCCCCTTGTTCTGCCAGCAGAGCAATGTCTGCTGTGTGAGCAACAGAAGGACTCTCCACCTAAAGGAAGCTGCAGACTGCGTGTATAGACATGTCCACACTTCTGGTTAGCAGATCTGGTCCTTGCAGGCACACTGGCTGTATTGGAGCCACGCGCAACCACCGGAAGCTGTGTGGGTGGGAACACGCTTTCCCAGCTTCCCTGTGGCAGTAGTTATTTGCTGTCAAATCTTGTAATGCACACAGGCTCCAAATCAGTGCCAGATGAGGCAGTGGCTGCAGTTTACCATAATATGAAGGCTGTGATGGTTTGTATGAAGTGTGCTGGGCAACCTCAGAGGAGTTTTGAGGGAATGGGTATTCCCACCGCACTGATCACTGCCCTTGTTGGTTGTCACTGGAAAAGAGACAAAGAATGGGATGTGCCCAGAGTTAAATCACTTCTTTACCCTGGACAAATCTCTCTCTTGAATGAGGCTGAAGCATATTGGCAGGGATTGCTTTTTCTGCTGCTGTCTGTGCCGGACCTGTTCAATACAAATGATAATTTGTTTTTGGCAGCTTGATACATGTCAACAACTGCATGTTACAAGCCCTAAATTTACTTTATCACCACATGCAGTTGTGCAAAGTGTGTAGAAGTCAGCACTTTCAAAGCTGTTTATACTGCCTTTCTGCATTGGAAAGTGACTGTATAAAAATAGTAACTTCCTTACTCAAGAGGACTTGCTTCCACCAGGGATAATTATTTTCTTTCTTATGCCAGCCTTATACTACAATAATGTCCATCTACTGATTTAGGGTGAGTCCACATAGCAAAATGAAGCTGTCACTGTGGCATGTGTTTGCATAGCTCACTGGTATCAAAGATCCACATTGCAGGCTAGATCCAGCCCTTGAAGCTGTTTCATTGAGCCCACAGGTTTCCAAAAGGGGCTTCAGATTCAGGCAATTTTCCAGCTATAGAGCCTCACTGGGAATACATATGGGGGGAGGGGGAGGACCACCACCACTGTTTGCCCCAGTGCCACTGATCCTACTGCTGGTCTGAGTCTGCCCTATAAGGCTCTTCATGGTCCAGATATGGCCCACAAGAAACCCTGCAATCCACATGTGGTCAGGTCCAGGTAAGTTTGACACTACTGGCATAGCAGTGCCAGCTAGTATGGGCAATGGTACCAGTGAAGACCTGGCCTTACAGGTTGAGTATTCATTATCAACCACAGTACACATCCCCCAGGGAATCTGGGCTGTGAGGTTGGGGTATATGTTGTTACATCTTCACTGTTGCTGTTTCCTATGCTAGCTAAATTAAGCTGGTACTAGTATGCTAGCATATGCTATAATAATACCTTCATTTTACAGTGAACACATACCATTAGTCTGGTATAAGGGAAAAGGAAAAAAAAAACAACCTGTGGGCATTGCTACCTTGATACTTTGTTGAGTTTTTGCTTGTTAGTCCCCCAGAAACTCAACAACTTTTGGGAGAATGAACAGGGTTCTGTTCTGCTTCATGCATCATATAAAGCTAGGGTAATAAAATACAGTCTGTGGGCTGGGTCCAGCCCAGGGGGTTGGGTTACTCAGCCCATGGGCCCCTCACAGGCTGGACCACGAACCTCTGCAGGCTGGATTTGGCTGCAGGGCTCATTGCGTTGGGATCCATGGGTTAATGCTGCTTGCCTCCTTGGTCCCCCTTACCTGCCATCCAAATCAGGGTTTTTAGTGTCTTTTGATGATTAAAAGTGGGAAGCAAGCAGTAGCAGTGTTAACTCCCTAGGTTTCATAGCTTCACTGAAAAAGCATCTGCTTACTGATCATCCCACCCACAGGAAGCCCTGCAATCCGGATGCAGGCTGTGGAATTACATGAGCTAGACACCCCTAGTTTACCATTTTTAATGTAGATCTAAGATTGTATCCCTCCACTGGCTTCTCTGTTGGACCAAACATAACTCAGTGGCCTTCCCTTACAAGGCCCTTTAGAGCCTAACTCCATCCTGACACTCATAACTTATACACTACTGAGCTTCTGACTCCTTGTCTCTGCTCTGACAGCAGTGTATGGCTTTTTCTTAAACATAAATTTATGTGAAAAAATTATACATTTATCTTGATTTCATTGTAAGCCATCCTGTACCTTTTGGGGGGAGGGTGGTATATAAATCCAGTAAATAAAATACTTGCCAGCTGTTATGATCATTAGTTCAACTTCCTTTCAATTCCCCTTTGTGCCTCCTCCCATGTTATCCTCTTCAGGCTGGAAAGTGTTTTCAGTAAGGATTTCCCAAACCAGGAACAAGGCTATGGAGGAAGACTTACCTAAAGAGAAATGGAGCTGGCAGGACAAATGGAGCTGGCGGGAGGCTGTGCCGAGTTGGAAGCGTAGCGGGAGCAGAGCTGCAGCCGGGAAAAATGCTGCACTGGAAGAAGAAAAAAAAGAAGAGAGCAACTGGTCCAGGAGGAGCCGGGACCAGCTCCCGTGCCAGCATGGGCGTGTTTTATGGCAGTGTACTGGTGCCGATTCGCTGGCCAGCCCCTTGAAAGGGGAATAAAAACCCCAATGGACAGTGGGCAGGAGGAACCGAAAGTAGGTTCTCTGGCGGGCCCAGAGCAGTCCAAAGCAGAGCAAAGCCCCACTGAGAGAAAGTGGTGGCAGCCCCAGGAGGCCTCCAGAAATAACAAGCCCAAGAGGGCTAAAATACTCATCTGAAACAATGCTGTGGACTCCCAATGTTTTCGGAAAAGATTGGATCCACCAGGAACCTGAGGAGAGAAGTGATGGCCATCTGAACCATGGTGAATACAAACCAGTGAGAGAGGAAATGGCGCCGGGAAGCAAGGTAACCCGGGGTCAGGAAAGAGTCTAGGCGGTCCCACTATGGCCCAAGCAAACCAGGATGAACTGATGTCCGAACGCATGTACCACAATTTGAAAGGCCAAGATAAATATAACCATACCGAAACCAAACCCAGAAGATTGGAGTTCAACTTTCTTTGTTGGTGTTAAGTGAGTTGTAGGGGAGGTGAAACCCCAAACGGGAAGACGAATGGGAAGATTGAAGGAGGGGGCCAGGAAGAGTGGGACATATCATCTTCCTCCCAATGAAACAAATTTATTCCAGGAAGACATGGTAGGTGAGAACCCCCAAGGAACCTCCGGAATCTAACCCAGCAACATGCTGTCCTTTCCCCAAGCAATGGCGAAGTCTGAAAAACCCATACAGACAAGATGCCATGCTGAATGGCACAGGAAATTACACCATCCATTAAAACTTTGCCGGGTTTATGACACAGGAGCTTCTCATAGTTTCAAGCTCCAACTCATAATTTCAGGGGAAAACTCAGTAAAATATCAAATTGTATTCCAGATTTAAGCTTGCAAGACATTCAAAATTTGAGGAGTAGAACATGGGGCCTGATCCTGTAATCAGTTACATTTATAAGGACTATTCCTGTGAGTACATGTGCTTCTGTATATAAGTACTTGTAGAATCAGAAACACTCTTTCTTCTGGAGACCATAAACAGCTTCTAGGCAATTAAAACACTATTCTAGTTTGCTACAATGTGGCCAGGGTTTTGAGTATATAACAAAACATACTTGGCCTAATTTCTAGTTTGTTATGGTCTATGTTCAACTCTGCAAAAAAAATCTCCCTGGGGTCTGAATATATATTTTTTCATACCAGAACATGACACAAATATTGGGAGTAACCATTTTTCTCATTTCAGCTTTCATAACACAATCAAAAACCAGACAGGAAATGTGTGAGTTTTAGGATTTGCAATTTACAACTTGCTCATGAGAATTATAAATGGGATTGTGTTGTACTAAATTTAGTTAAGGGGTGGGGTAAATGAAAATGAAATGATCGGAGAAACTATTCCAGTCTCAAATCCTAATTTATTGAACACATAAGCATTACCAACTTTTTAAGCAAGGCTTGAAATATAACATCTAACTTCTAAGTAAGTCCTAACAGTCAATATAGATATTATGTGAACCTTCCAATGGATACAGTGATTTCATCTGGCCAGGTGTCCGTCATGGCACTAGGGTTCAAGTAGTTGTTGTTAGGGCCACCCAGAGGGGTTATGGGGCTTGGGGCAGGTGTGAGTTGGGGGCCCCACCGCTGCCCCGTACAAGGACCCATGTGTGTATGTACGAACCTGGGAGACCACGTGCTAGAATTCTTGCACACATTCATCACGTGAGAATTCTCACATGCGGCTCCTCCTTCCCTTGCCCTGGCTTTCCACTTGTATGCCCTTTTCAAGAGCTTTATCAATGGCTCTTTTTCCACTAAGAGCATTTGCAAGATCTTTCCACTGTAAAAAATGTTGAAGATGACCAGAATTGGCCTCATGACTCTTTACTTTGTCATACAGTTTTCTTCAGTTATCATTCATACCCCCATGGCAGAATCTGGAATGGTACAGGGCTTGATTTTTGTTCTGGTCTTGGAAGAGACAGCATGGAAAACATAACAGTCCAGCTGCCTTGTGGCTCCAAATGAGTGAGTCCCTTTTCACACTCTCGTCATTGGACAGAGTCTTGCAGAAAACATGTAGGGAATGACCATTTGCAGGAATCATGTGGGAAGCTTGCAGGTTTGGGTGGTGGGCCCTTGGACACAATTAGATCCCTTTGCAACCTACTGAGATGCCCCCAGGTGGCTGGGTCATTAGAGAACATTTCCTGGTGAAGCTCAGGTGCAGATCCAGAAACCAGATCAATTGTCTTGTTTTTCTCATTTGATGCTATGTCATTTTCACATTCTCCTGCTACATCACTGCTTACTTCCTTTGTGATGTTTTCATGATCAGAATATTCTTCATCCCCTGCAAGTGATGTGCCACCTGCATCATCTGTTCCACTTCCAACTTCCTTATTTCCTTTCACCACCCATCCAAACTGATGCAGTGTCTGCTTCCCCTTTTCATCCCGAGCTTTTTTCCCCTTTGTCTCCTTTCTTTTTGATGCCCCAGATTGATAGGTGCGCTTCATTTTTTCTTACACGGGAAGAAGGGGATAGGAATAGGGTTGTAACTCTCCTGAGCACCTCCAAATTCCCAACCCCTTCTGGCAGAGCTTCTCTTTCCTACCAGTTTCCTGGCGCCTGGCTCAGTCTCACAGGTCTTCTGGTTGTGACCTGCTGGCTGGCCTCCTCCACTACTCAGGAAGGAACAAAGGAATCCTCCCTTAAGGCCTGGCTTCACGCCACTCCTAGGCCTTTCCCCTGTGGTAACTGCCACAGAAAATTACTCTCCAGTGGGACCTTACCTGGCAATCTTAGCTGGTACTCATGTAATCCCCGTAAGCTGAGTTGTACTTGGCTCAGGCTTGTGGGTGTGGCAGATGATAAGCAGGCCCTGCACCGGCTCAGGGAAAAAGAAAGTGTATGCAGAGAGAGCAGACAGAGGAAGGAGGCTTGTCTTTGTGTTGTTGCTGGAGAATAAACTTGTATATTTAGCCTTTAACCCCTTGATTAAGGGCACTGTGAGACTGTTCATATTCTTAAGCAACCACTGCTGTTTGAAGGACCAGATGAGAGCAAGTCATCTCTGCAATACTGAAAGCAAGATTTGCAGTTTGGAGCACAGGCTTCTTCAGTTAAGAAGGACTTTAATATTTTTAGAGTTATCTAGACAGTTTGCATTTAAGTACATTTTGAAGTGGGAAAATAGGTGAACCTGAATATGTGTTATGTCTAATGTTGTTTTTTTCCTTTACAAATCTAAAGAAAACAATATATATCATTTTAATTATTATTTTCTTGCAAGTTTCTGACTTTGGCCCTTAAGAACCAGAAAGCTGACATTCACTCACAACTTGAACTCTTTCCCCTAAGGCCTTCCTGTGACAACAGGCCAGCTCTGCCACAGATCCCTCCTTAAACCTTCCCTGTTCCTCCTCTCATCACAACAGACTCGGTAACCAGGGCTTCTTGGCCTATGCCCTAGGCTAGGCCAATCATAAGCCTGCCTGATCAATCTCATCTCTATTGCTGCCCAGAGATAAAGAAACGTTACCTTACTGTGATTGGTTTAGACCCCCCCTTGGACATCAATGTAACAATCACTTAAGCCTCAAATTCCTGTTTCACACACAACAATGTATAATATTTACTTCATGGTTGGGGACAGGTTCCATAATGTCACAATGACATGTTGAGAATGATTCAGTGTCATCTTACACTTTAATACACCAATTTCCTCTTTTTTATGAAAACAAAATACCAAGAACTATGGTGAGCGATGTTGCAGGGCAAGGCCCAATGGTACACACAGGAGCTGAGGCAGGGTGCCCTTGCTTTGTAGGGGCCTGGGACAAATTGCACCAGTTGCCCCCCCTGCCCTCCAGGAGTCCTGGTTGTTGTTTCTTTTCCTGTATTTTCTTAGGTTTTTATATCCTTTTCCCCAGTTTTCTTCTGTATGTCCCATATACGGTTATGTCATACAGTGGTCATCTTCCTGTCAGGCTGCATCCTGTTATCTCAGACAGGTAAACTGCATTCTCTTTTAACTTTCTTGCTGACATGGGTTATAAAGAGGTGACCCAAGCTGTGATCTACTTGCTTTGCTTTTAGTTAGGGGTGTTAATTATGTCAAGGCACAAAATGCTGCTGCTTATGCTAAGCATTTTGCTAAGACAGCTTTCAGCCCTACACTTGAGTCAAAACTTCAGAGTCAAAATCCCCAGAATGTGAACCTGGATCTGAATCTGAATTCTGTGCCTGTATGGTGCACCAAATAAAAGGTCTATTAACCTCAAACTTTGAAATGTTCAAACCCCCTTCCCTCCCTGCCCCGCACCAATTCCTGGCCTGCAGGGATCAGTTACATAGAGAAATTCAGCTGTAACAATCCTACAGACCTCAGTCAGATCAAGATTTGGACCCTAAGAAGGGAAAAACTAGTAACCTCACACCTGGTATTATCCATTTCAATTTAAATCAATAGATTCTTCGAAGCTAAGGAATAGTAAAACACATTTTGATTTTTACTTTATTTTTAAAATAAAACTATTTTAGCCAACTGAAAAGCAATAAAGAATCATCTTTTCGATAAAAAGATCCTTTATAAACATTGTTTTGTACATCATTAGTTATCCTAACAATGGCATCCTGTCCACAGTATTGTTAATGCTATAAAATAATCTCTGTAAAGTGGATATTTGAGGACAAGCAGCTTCCAAGCTAGACAGATAACTGGTTAATTATAATTTACTCTATGATAAGAACATAAAATAGGACAAGTATATTTAGTGATATCTTTTGGGCTTGTATTTAGGTGCAAGCTCAATGACCAAGTGCCATCTGGTGGTCAAAACTCATACCGCTTTGTTTGTTTCTCACACCCACCTGACAAATGGATATTTGTCCTTTGTTTCTGATCTAGTGCTCAGATATTTAGATTTCTCAATAGAAATGTTGGGCCATATCCTCACGAGCAGGGGCATGTAGTTGCTGTGGGGAAAAAAGAAGCGGCACAAATTCATGCTACTGCTTTTTGTCCTGGTGCACACCCTTGCGTATAGGGTTAGCACATGGAAAATGCACCTGGGCTGGCCCCAGCAGCCTTACATGGGGTCCTGGGGGCCTCCCAGGGCTCCATCAGCAGTGAGCACACAAATTTGCAGTGTGGCGAATGCCTACATGTTAGGTAGTGTGTGGCTTGTGGTATCGTGGACACGCTTGTGGCACTGCAAACCACACATGCACACTCATCTGGACACGTCCTTACTGTCTTTTTAAACTATCCTTTTCTTACTGGGGAAAGCCTCTTTGTGAGTAGGGAGATTGCAAGGCTTTTCACTCCTGCTGGAAAAAGGACTGCAGGGACTTCTTTCAGGATTCTCAAGTTATTCAGTATTTAAGGTCAGCCCAAGCCCTTGCCTTATTTTTTTAACCATGATCACCCTAACAGTCATGTAGGAGAATGACTACAGGTGCAGGATACGATTAGTTCTGGTGGGGAGTTGTGGAAGTGTAAATTTGTTGACAATTAAGAGTAGAGCAGTGGTGGATAGTTAAAAAATTCTCTCTGAGGGTCCGTCTCTACCAAAGTAGTTCTGCCATTGCTAGTTACAAAAGTAATTTACATTATTAAACCTTTTCCTGTAAGGATTTTGCAGGAATCTGATTTTTCGCTGGATAGGTGGTACAGTACAGCCAGCGTCTGCGGCTTTCAGGACTTTTATGAAGTGCAAAATATTTTTTCAGGGATTGGAGTAAAGGGGAGTATATCACATCTCGGCACCTAATTCCACCTAGGCATGTAATAGATAGAACAGGATCTGATGCTTTATGGTCATTAGGGCCCTTGATATATACAATATCTGCGAATGCCCTTGCTCTTATGAATCTTTTCAACATAGGAAGCAGAGAAACTTAATTTCATTTTAAAATGAAATTATTTCAACCAACTGAAGAACAATAACGAATAATTTTTTTCAGTGAAAAGATCCTTTAGCTCATATAAACATCCTGCTTATTGTACAAAGCTGATTAGTCTAATAATTCCATGCAGTCCCTGCTATTGCTGATTCTGTTAATCTGTCTTTATAATGGAGTTGGATAATTTGAGAGCTGCTGAATTAGATAGATAACTTCTTACTATTACTACTAATAAATCTTAATAACTATAGCTCAGTGATAGGAGTTGGGGCCTGGGCTTGTGACAGTGGACCAGCAGTCCCTCTAGCCCACCCTCTTGTGAATGGCTAGTATTGAAAGCTTCAGAGGAAGGCCCAAGAATTCTTTATGGACTAAGCAAACATAAAATGAAGTTTCAGCCTAACTTCTTACTGATAAGCATTGGCCTTAAAGATAAATAAAAAAATAAATACAAGAACAATCCCATTTTAAGCATTTCCACCTGTGCTAGAGCTTCTGCTTGCTGAGATTAATTTTTAATACAGTTACTAATTCAGCTCAACTTCAGCTATCCAAACTCCAGCTACCTAGAAACCTAAAGCAAGATACAATCTAGAACTTCGTCATTAAAAACTCTGAATAGGGGAAAAAAAAGAGGACAAGTTAAATGGAGCATACAGTTAGTCCTTCAAGATTTGTCATGCCCCTGTCTTTGGCATAATGAGAAGAATTAATGCATGCACAAAGA